CCCTCTTCCCCCTTATGTGGAACGACAGCATTGAGCTGCAGTTTTCTCCTATTCTTGCTATATATGTATATTTATTAATTCTTTTTTCTTTGACAGGACATTGAGGAAATTTTAGAACAGACCAGGCAAATGAACATTTATTGCCATTTTGCTAAAGGCATCGGTGAACCCAGCTATCGACCAGTTCCAGCCTGGGAGGAGTTGAACCAGATCCTGGTGGAAGCCTTGGACAACTACAATGAAGTCAATGCTGCCATGAACCTGGTGCTGTTCGAGGATGCCATGTGCCATGTGTAAGGGGATTTTCTGGCTTCATGGTCTCATTGTAGCATTTATCTGGGTAGATTTCTTCCATGGAGTTTTCTGGAAGATGCATGTATCCATAATTGTAGCTGGCAGAGCTGGAGGTGTGCAGAAGCTTCATCTGTCCGTGTGCTGTGTCCGGCACAAATACTGTGCTGCTTCCCTGGCTGGTGTCTGGAGGACACTTTGGAACCATCAGGATGCCTGAGGCTGTCCGATAGTGGTGGTTATTTTAAAGTCTGGTTGCTGTTATGATATCTTTGGCCTTCAATGCTCTGCATACGGCACGAACATTTATTGTACCTGACGGTGTTCAAGCACGTTAATGTCGTCGCTTGACAGCCAGCTACAGAACTAGTTATACTGGGATTTCCCTAAATGCTTTCACAACTGGTTTGGAGCCATGTTTACATAGGTTCTTAGTGGGATTTCTGAATGTATATAAAGGGAGATTAGGGGCATTCGAGCTACTAGTTTAAATGGATCGAGGCGTTTAACTGCTTTGATCCTTTAAAAATCCTGCTTGCATTTAAATGCCTGGAGGTCCAGCTGGATTCCCTTTGGAAATTGGCCATGTGGGACTACCTGAAAATAGCAAGCCTCCAGTTGATAATTGTGAAGCTCCTTACATGTCTGTGGTATAGATAGCGAGGTGTACCTCCTCAAATACAATTTGAATGCTTGTTGGGAATCCCAGTGGAGACAGACTTATTTCCGGATACTGAAATGCAGATCTGCCTTTGATCACTTCAGAAGACGGACCTGTAATTTTAACTGATTCTGTATGAAAATGTTGTATCAAGAGATGCCAATTTGTAACCCTGAGCTAGAAGGAAACCTCTCTCCTGCTGCACACTCGTGTGGGTGATTTCAGTTCTTGCTGGACCTGGCAACATAATGCAGCTACTCTCAGGAAATTTTTTTAAAAATATAAATACATAAAGGGCTACTTGTTTTATTTAGCTGAATAACTGTCTCTGTTCTGAGAGACCAACAACCTGTTACTTTTGCAGCGTAATATGCTGGCTATGCTGGGGCAGTTTTTCCTTATAGAGTGGGCATTTACTTCTTTGTGTTAATGAGCCATGTGCCTCTTGATGTCCATAGGTGTTTCTGCCTGCATTGCTTGCAGAAAGGTGACAGTAATGTTAATCTTGTCCTTCTTTTGCACTTTCCATAAATCAGGATTTGTGACAAAACCTGGCACTGCCCCTCCAGTCAATATTGCGAATAATCAGGAAAGCAAGACTTGAATGTTCAGCATGATTCTCACAGGAGCTGGGTGATTTTCATTCATTGCACTTGGAAATTGCATTTTGCTGAAATACGCATCTTATTCCATCTCAAACGGCGTCTGAACATCAGCTTGCATTTGCTGAATTTTTTTCAGTTGGGAAAAAGAAAATTAAAAAAAAAAAAGGGGAAAAAAGCAAAGAACAGTTAAGGATTTAGTTTATGTCAGTCACCTCCTAAGCCAGGGCTCACCGTGCACATTCACGGAGCCTGCAGCCCCAGAGAGCCCATTTGAGGCAGAGACCTTGCTGTCGGCTTTGGGGAGAGCTGGCCTAGAGAACTCACAATGGGGACACTGAAGTTCTCCTGGCAGACTGCTTCTCTGGGTATAATTTCATCATTGACGGGAGTCTGCGCATAGATCATAAAATACTTGAGTTTTAATAAAGTGCTACTATATTTCTTACTATCTTGTTGGAAAAATTAATTAGATCGGTCTAGAAAAATAGTTAAGTGAGCTGAATAACAGCAACTCTGTGAGGAGCGGAATGGTGCTGGCATTTAAGACAAGTGAGTTTTTCACAGGTAGGAGCCTCTATACCCTCCTTACTTGGCGTTTTAACACGTGGGGATGTCAGCGATTGCTCAAAGAGGATAACTTGGAGGCAGAGTTCACCGTGTGACACTCGGACGGGACAAGTGACCAGACTTTGAAAATAATAGCAAGCTCATTTTCAGAGTGAGAAAATCTCAACCCTAAGTAGTGGCCATTTGGATAAATAAGAAACATGACTGTGCTTTCCAAACAGACTTTATGCTGCTCTAGACATACACAAATACGCTGTAATGCCCAGCAGGACTCTGAACATGAACTCCACATACTTTGTGAAGAGAAACCTTTACTGGAGAGGTGCATCAGAGTCTTCTTTTTTTTTCTCAGATTTTGCATGTCCATGCAACGTATTTTTTAATTATCTTCCCTGCAAAGATGTCCAAGCCTTCTCCTTATAATAGTTCTGTCCAGCAGGACTCGGAAGGTGGAAAAAAAATTAGACACAGTCTGAATTGCCACCAAACTTTTCTTTTCATCAGCTACATCCTTCGCAGAGATCTCAGCAGAGATGAGGTTGATTGCTGACATGTCTCTTAGATTGACATTTCTCATCCCATTCAAAATACAATTTCTTAGTCAATAAAATATGCATTGAAAAGCACCGAACAGGGAAAAAGAAAAATACTTTTATTAATGAGAGCTTTTGTATGCTTCAATTTAGCTGCCGCATCAACCGTATCCTGGAGTCCCCCAGAGGAAACGCTCTCCTGGTCGGTGTGGGGGGGAGCGGCAAGCAGAGCCTGACCAGACTGGCAGCCTTCATTAGCTCTTTGGAGGTTTTCCAGATCACTTTAAGGAAAGGTTATGGGATCCCTGACCTTAAGGTAGGTGGCTTTTAAGACTGAGGTGGAGGGGAAGGAAATAAAAAGCAGAACTTGCCCTGAAAACTTTAGCTTCATGTCAGTCTCTTGTCCCAAGGAACAAGTAATAGGACAAGAGGAAATGGCC